TCCTTTGTTAAATTTATTCTTTAACATTATCAAGTAATTTTCTGCAAGTAATTTTTGTAATATTTAAATTAATTTGATGGTTGATTAACCTTAGAACGCTATCGATATTGAGTGATATAGTATTGCTAATAACACAAAATTTTATTGATACATTTCACACTTTCAATAACAAAATATTTATAATCTAGATCTTTACAAACACAAATAATGTAATTATTTACTGATCCCTTTGTAGACCGGCGACCCTGTTTAGGGTCACTCTTTTATTTTATAAACTATTTGTTTTCAGTTTTTATAAAAATTATTTTTTTTTAATTTTAAACTTTAATTTTAGAATTATGAGACCAGAATTGAATTCAACGACCCCGAAAATCTTTAGAAAATAAGATCTTCCATAAATTACTTTAGAAAGCCCCGATCATCAAAAAGTTAAAAGGAAAAATAAAAATAAGCATATTATCAAATTCTCAATCTTGCTGACTATTGAAAGCATAATTTAACGCTCAATGATCTTACTCATTTATATGTCAAACTTACGTACAATAGCATTCCATGGTTAAAAATTCCATGGTTAAAATACTTATTCGCAATCTTTTATTTTACTGTATAAAATGCGCATCGATTAAGATGGATCACGTAACGGTATGGAAGGTAGGTACGGCTAATTGGTACTTTCGCAGAAGGCGGTGACTCCGAGAGTGGTCACAAGGGCAGTAATAAGGCGAAGAGGGTTAGGACCACTTTTACCGAGGAGCAGCTCTCCGTTCTCCAGGCGAATTTTCAATTGGATAGTAATCCCGATGGGCAGGACCTTGAAAGGATAGCGCATGTAACTGGACTCAGCAAGAGGGTAACGCAGGTGTGGTTCCAAAATTCAAGAGCAAGGCAGAAGAAACACCTTCACACCGGCAAAATGAAGGGACAGCACGGTAAGCGAGACATCGCGTCAAACATCTTTCCATCAATTTGTTTATGTTGCTTGAAATTCCCAAAAGTTGTTGCGTTTAAAACGAGACAAATGTATATTCCGATTTTAAAGAAAGAGAAAATAAAAATTCTGAACGTGATGATAAGTGCAAGCAGCACGATCTCTATTTTCACAAAGTGTCGTCGCGATTGTATGCAATCGATAGATAATAACTTTAATTATCAGCATCGGTGAAATGAATTTTTGCAGTGCACCAATCTCCACCAAATTCTACTGCGTCGCCCAACGATTTCAGCCGTCACATCAACCTGCATCTGACGTACTCGTTTCAACATCAGCAACAGCATCAACAGCAACAACAACCGCAGCTTAGCCCAGCCACGTGTAAGAGCCCGACAGGCTCCATTTATCACAATCATGGTAAGAGATCGTTCGCAATATCCCTGCGGATCGGGGAACTTCATGAAAGATTGTTACTGCGATCAAAGACTTCAGATTGGGAAAATTCGACAATCAATTAGAGATTGAACAGGATCGTACATTTACGTGTAATTGCGATTCCATTAACTCTGTTCTCAGGGTCGGAGCAATCGATGGACGAGCTATCGCAAGACTCGATGCTACTATCTATGCCGAATGAGGTTTAATGGCGATTTCAATTATATTGTAAATACTCGGCGTTGCTTCGAAAAAGCGTCAGAAGGTAGAGAGAGATTCACGCCTCGAGGAAGCACCATTCAATGCCCGGTTATCGTTTTATTTATCCTCAAGAAAAGTGGAAAATTCACACTCGTCGCGCTCTTCGATGACGCACTTTCGAGTTACGCTCGCAACATATATCTTGCGCTCTCGGTGTTGAATCTTATTGGAACCAGTATTGTTCCGTGTTAACACGCGAAAAGATATGTACGTGCGCACGCGTGAATTCGTGTGTGCTTGTGTGTGTATGTGTGTATGTGTGTGTGTATATATGTATAATGTGTGCGTGGCGTGTGCGTGCGTGTGTGCGTATACGTGTACAACTTTGTCTGCAATTTTGAATCGATCTGTCTGCCTACCTCTTTCTTGGTTGTGTGTGAATTGTGATTTTCTACTCGTTCTTTCTCCTTCGTCTCTCTATTCTTCTTTTCGTATCGGTGCCTGATGCAACCAGGAGGGGATCGCTTTAACGAAGCCTTTAAAGCGAACATAGGCGTAAAAGAGAGGCGGATACGTAGGACACTCATTATGAATCTATTTGAAAATGATTCCGTTCAGAATGATTCCGTTTCTCGTCACTTGACCTATTATATAAATATTCGGATTGTATTTGAAACGATTGAAAAATTTCCGATTTTGAACACGCTATTTGAAAAAGTTTATTAAAAGTTTAAATCTTAATGTTAAATATAATCATTTTTATTATATTAAATAATGACAGACTAATCTTCAACATGTTGCAGATTAAGTTATTATATTATTAATATGTATCAGTAAATAATATTTAATATTACTTAATATAATAATATATTAAGTAATATTATTATTAGCATGTTCAACAAAATTATATGATGATAATTAACTTGTCATTTATTTATGTCGTAAGAATTATGTATTATATTTAAGATTGAAGATTGACACATAATTATTTTACTTCATTATTACACGTTATAATTTTATGTTTTTACATATTTTAATATTATCTTTTTTATTATACATGAAATTAGAAAATTCAATATTTTATTTTTATTTACATTATTTGTCATCATATCGCTATGACGCTTAAAATTTTTTCGAACTATGATTGACAAAACATTTTGCACGTTTTCCACATACATTTATCTACTTTCACTTCCTGTCACAGCAAGATATGCAGAAAGTCTATTTCGTTCATATTTCGACAAGGTTTCGTAATCTGAAGACACGAATGGAATGGTAATCGGAAATTCGCGAGTCTGAAACTCGCAATTCTGATCGGAATCGCGAACAGTTACATAATAAGTGCCCTGAATGTCATCGCGGAGACGTAATCGCCGTCGCGTCGTCGACGAAATTTCGTTCGCGTCGCGTAGCAATGCTTGAAATGAAAGTATCTTTCATAGTAATCTCAATAGTCATGTAAAATCATTCAATATGAATGTCCTGTGATGTAAATATTGTAAACTAAACGTATATAAATATATGCGATTGCACACGTTGAACAAAAGGATGGCCTTTGTTTCTTGATCAATCCAACCATCTCCCTCCGGATATCTTCCGTGCGATATTCTTTCAAATTATCTGTAACATCTGTAATCGGAGAAACGGATAATAATTAAAGGGTAATAATTGCAACGATTAACAATAAAAGGCGTTTTATTAATAACAATACGATTTATATAATATTGCAGCGACAAGTATGCGATATCAAGTTCAGATCTTCATCACGTTTCTCTCTCTTTCTCTCTTTCTTTCTCTCTCTCAATCTCTCTCTCTCTTTCTTTTCACAATATTCCTATATCTACCTACAGAAGACATATGTACAAAAACTACAATTCGCTCTATATACAATTTCGTATTATGGGTTAAACAATATCTACGTCAAAACTTCGAAAAATGGACGAGACAATCTAGTCTTCCTTCATTTTGCATCGTCTAAGAGATTTTATTCACCGTCGCAGACAGACGCAAATTGTTTTACACGCTCGGAATAAATAAGCTTAACCTAATTTTAAATACGAAAAACTTGTACCTTTCATACGTTACATATTATATTAACGATAACGCGCGCTTATTTTACATCTTGAGAAATATATACAGATTAATTCGCCTTAAGAACTCATATGTAATTGTTAATTGAATCTAGTCTGCTCGTTATACACTTTTTATCTAATTTTTTGTGCGGAATATAAGAAAAAAATAAATATGACACTTTCGATTTTGTAAAAATCTTGTCACAATTTTTTATACAAATCTCCGAATTATATAATCATGGCGGCTGAAAGCACATACAGTGAGAAGGGTTAATATCAACAGTTTCGTGGAAACATTTATATCGACTTATCCCGCGGGATGACAGAATTGGGCCTGCAAATGATTCGGCGTCGTTGGTGTGAGTGGAGTCAAAGGTGTAAGGGGCGTTAACGGGCTACCTGGACTCTCGCTACCGGCATTGCTGGCCTGATAACCACCGAGATAAGCGCCAACCACGTTGATGCCACTGGGATACAGGTCAACTGGGTGATGGTGCATCGGCGGCGAATGATGCACTGCAAACACACGAAAATAGGCGTTTTGAATTCTCGAGGAATACTACCCGTAACCCCGGATTTACAGGTGTATTAAGCCTTAAGTCGTAAGAAATTGACCAATTACAGTCGAATTTGAGGAGAATAATCGACTATGATTCGTCCATTTCTTATGGCTTAAGGCTTAGAACTCTATTGTAGATCCGAGATAATGAGAGTTATGTAAAAACTTTACGGTTCTAGTAAATCATTATCAAATCAATGATCAATTTAACTGTGTGTTATTATTACAGCTTTAGTTTGTAATTGCGTTTTCAGTTCAACAGTAATCGGCGCGCAATTCATATAACTGAAAGATATGTTTAAAATTTACATAGAAATATTATTACTATTATTATTAGACTAATACCTTGACCGTATTTGGCGCTTTCTTCTTTTACACTAAAACCTCATAATAGCGCGCACTCGGAACATAGTATGTTCTGCATTCAGCAGTGAAAATAACTTTGCTAATATTGTAAAATTTTTTATTATTAAAATATTTTATGATTCGTCTTACCTTTAGCCCTCACTGAATCAAAATATATAAATAAATCATTATTAAAAATTTATACAATAGTTACTACTTTCTCTGCTGAACACAGCCAATAAGATTGTCCTCACTTCACTTCTAAAATTCAGAGCCCTATTCTAACGCTATCTTCACTTATATTCAGTCATCGAAGTAAATTTTTCACATGTGTGGAGTGGTCAACGTGCGGAGAGATCTGGTTAGAGCTAAATTTAAATAATATTAAATTTATATATTGTATACATAAATAAATAAATCAAGTATACATATATATATTTTGTTTTTCTTCAATTATTTTTTTTTATTACGAATGTAGCCTCGTTGAATATTATTTTTATTTATGAATTCATTCATATGCTCTTCTAATGTGATCCTTTGCCACATTTGATTGGTCACCCAGAGAAAAGGAGATTTTGCCAAGAGCCAATCAGAGCGCGCAGCATTGTTCATTAAGATATAGGCAATAAAAAATCCTATAATTTGCTATGTCAAATTTACATGTGTAGAGTACTCCATCATTCCACGCACAGCCCTGCTCATACTATTCATATGCGTTTAACGCATATATGAAAGAAATTTTGTACGTTATTTCGAGATTCACTATTATTAGGTTCTAATGTATTCATATAGCGGTCTTGTTTAACTGATTATTTACTTACTCTGAGTCTTGATCTTGCCGCTGTGCTTCTTCTGTCTCGCCCTAGAATTCTGAAACCAAACTTGCGTGACCCTCTTGCTGAGGCCGGTCACCTGGGCTATCCTCTCAAGATCCTGTCCGTCGGGATTGCTGTCCATCTGAAAGTTGGCCTGCAGGACCGCAAGCTGCTCCTCGGTAAAGGTCGTCCTTACGCGTTTGGTCTTGCTGCCTTTGCCGCCGTGCTCGGAATCGCAATCCTCCGACGACGAAGTATTGTTACCCTCGACCACATCCAAATAATGAGTCTTGCAGAGCAGTCGGGCGTCCAGAAGCGCGAATTGCTCACCCGTGGAGAGTTGACGGGAGCAGGCGTCACAGGCGAAACATGCCAAGTGATAGACTCGATCCTTAGCCCTCCTCACCCAGTCCCCGGCGCCCACACTGCGCCCGCATTTCGCGCATTTCGCGCCGAATGTTCTGCAAAAACGCAAACGATAGGGATTTCTCCTATGTGAAAGCCACACGTGACGAAGTCGCCATCAACTTTCGAACGTGCGCGAGGGTTAAAAAAGTTAATCGACGTGCGTAATCAATGACAAAGGGAGTCGGCCCGGCCGATCGATGTACCGGTGTACTGTCCATTTATCACCCATTTACTGTCATTCATCATTCATTGATTCACGCGAGTCTCTCTTTTTTGTCGCGCGGCTACGAATGGACTCGGCAGTAAACGCGGCTCTCTCGCAGTACATATCGAATTCAGTCGCGCGGACATCCCCCGGTCGAAAAAACTATTTTTATCCCGTCGACGGCAGGTTCATTCGAGACCTCCGAGAACGCGAGGACCCGGCAGCAGTCCTGTCCTCATTAACATACTACTCAGCCACTCGGTGTCCTCCCGACTCGACGAGGCATCGAAGCCACCTCGGTTTAAGGATCAGTATCGCGCGATTCGAAGAGTAGATTACGTCGAGATTATTTCGATGTCTCAGTTGTGCGGCTTCCGACCCTATACAAATGGCTCGATTTCTTTGAATCCATGCCGACGAGATGTGAGGAGAGAATCTCGTGCTAAAAGAGAACTCGAGAAAAGAGACCGAAGAAAGCTAAAGAAATTATTATTATTATTATTGGGGACACCGATAGAGCAGTGCAGCGTGAAGAAAACTAAACATGAAATTCAGCAGAGGTTATGCATACGGGAGCATACGCAAAAGAAGAAAAGAAGAAGGAACGGGAAGGAGGAACGAAGTGAAGGAAAAGAAAAAGGATCGATAAGAAGCACAGACATATAGGAAAGAAGGAAAGAAAAAGGAAGAGTGAAAGAAAAAGGAAAAGAGAAGCAAGAGGAAGAGCATAGAGACGAAGCAGAAGAAGAAGTAGAAGAATGCATCAACGACCGATCGACCATAGCGTTATTGTATGGAAAAATATGGTAAGCTCATGGAGGGATTAGTCTTCGCGTCTGCATAGTCATCGTCGCATGACGCGATGTTTTCGGGGGAGGGGATATTATTGGTTATGGTGATCGCGCAAAGGGCACGCCTAGGAGCTAGTTTGTACCGATCACCAGCGATCGCTCTATGATCCTTTTTTGACTGTTTATTTTCTAGTCTAGAGGAGATTCATCGAAGTAACGATCATACCTGTTACTTTCCTTTTTCTTAATAGAAGTAAAAAAAGAAGATAATAGGCGTTAAGTCAATGCTAAGTCCAAACTCAAATCAAGTCAATATCCAGAATTACAAATCTTGAACAACACTGATCTCGATTACTTTGACTGATTTGAAGTTAGCGCCTATCTCTTATTGTTAGTACGTTCTCTCTCACTCAAGAAACCTTCCTGCGCGTTCCTGAAAGAAGTGAGTTTGATGACACTAACTGCATTCAACAGAAAAAACTTTTTGCAATGTTCTAAGAGTTTTTCATATAATTAGTTTATACATTTAAAAATTATAAGGTAATCAAATTTCTGAAATGAATAAAAAGTAAGTAAAAGGGCTGCTGGGAATTCGCGCTGTTAAAATTGCGCAATACGATATAAATGAGACTTGAATATATTCACAACATTACATACATATTTCGGCTAATCTTTTAGTCATCTTTAACAATTAGTCTCCTATACTAATTTTGTATTTTGCAATTAATCTAATACACTGTTTTTTTAATTTCTTTTGTTTTTTTATACATTTAAATCCAGTGAGGAACTAAAAACAAAAGCCAACCATATCAAAGGATCTTATAACAGTTGCAAAGCTGTTTTTTTTATGAACGCAGCAACTAAAAAATTTCCCGACAAGAAGATCTTCCATCGTGGAAACATGGATGTGTCATTCGACGAGTGTCGCCTCAGGTAAATAGTAGCGCCCGCTGCTCTCCCCGTTCAGCTTCTATGGTTTCATACCCCAGAAAAGCCAAGACTTAACGCACCGAGGAGGCAAAAGGGCGACGAGGGGAATCCTGTGTATCCGGCGGCGACGAGAGAACTGGTATTGGGTATCTATAAATCTTCAGGGCCGTACGCGCGCGTCGGCTACCAAACGGCCCCGCCCTAATTTATTCATTTGTTCTTCCACATAGGCGGGCCCTATAAGTCAACGGGGGATTAAGTTAGGCGCTCGCTGGTATGAGACGCTTGCGAGAGCATGATCGAACCCCGCCGGCATACGAATTGCGATTGAGGATTGAGAATAGCGAAGTACGCGTCGGGACGATACAAGTTAATTGCGTCTTGGTAGCCGTAGAACAGCTAATCATAATTTACGCAGCAATCCCTACATAGGTGTATCCCATAGAGTACAGATCATACCAATAATATTGCAATAACATTACATAGATCACTCCAGTATTAATGCAGAAACATTGCAACGTTCCAGTAATGTTTTCAATAACATTACGATCTTCCAGCAATATTGCAGAAACGTTGCGACGTTTCAGCAATATTGCAACAACTCTGAAACGTTCCAACAATATTGTGCAATGACACTGCAAACTTTGCAGCAATGTTAGCTACAAACTTTTGTGCTGTACGAATATTTCTGGTGAACGATACCGAGTAAGAACGACAATCGCATAAAGTTATCGCTCCAATATATAACGCGTTATTCAATCTTACGGACGTTTGGCTAACTCAAAGAACTGCGATCATTGCTCGAGTGTCCCGGCAGCCGCGAGGTATGCGGCCTTAAGTGCCGGCAAGGTGAAGAAGATAACACCGCGATTACGACGACAGGTGGTCCCGACGTCGTGTTGGGCGATGCGAGTCGCTTCTGCACTGATCGTGCCGAATCAAGAAAACCGGAATCTTATGGGCTTCGAGGGAAATCGCTAATAGAGCGATTTTTGCCGCATGCAGGGCCACGAATCACTTCGACGCCTGAGCTCTTCTTTTTTCGGTCGAAACGTACGAAAGCGACGAAAGCGGGGAAAGGATTGGGGGGCCTCGGACGTCGGGGAGTAGGGGACGCACGGGCCCCGGGGGTCGGGTGAATATTTATTAATTTCAAAGACCACTCTATTTCTCTCTCACTCTTCCCCCCCCCTCTCTCTCTCTCTCTCTTCGCGCTCCCTCGCTCACCTGGAAGAAAAGAAGTACCGCGCTGGCTCGCACTCGGATGAAGGCGGGAAGAAGGAACGGTTCGAGGATCGCAGCTGGCTTCGGTGCCTTACGAGGCGAATTCCTCAGTCCTCCGGAACACTGACACTAGGCAGTCCCATCTCGAGTGACTCGGCACCCACATACACGTACGCGTATATTTGGTATACGGAATCACGAAGCGCGAAGTAACCCGCTTTCGGGACATTGATAAATTAATGATAGCCGGGCAATTCCTTCCCCGCCAGTTATATCGTACAAATCCTAGCGTGTTATTTTTCGTATCGTCGGACCTTTCGAACCCTCTCTCTTTTCCTCTCTCTTTCTCTCTGCATCGCCCGGACAGAACTTGAGAAATGCTTCGTGAGTACCGCGTAACGAAAGATACGTCTAAGGTATATAAACGGATTACGCGGCGTCTTAGGGGAGGGCAAAAATGACGCGGGGAGTAGGCGTAAAAGCCGAAGCGAGAGGATCTCACGAAAGAATATTCTCAGGACAAGGGTATTTATTTTTTTTCCGCGTTCGCCGCGTGCGCGCGCGAGACAGTGAGACGTCGAGACGTCAACGTGACTCCGCAGCTCGTGCTGTGCGTGAGCATGCGTGATACACGAATGCACGGTGACGTGAATAGCCGACTATACGTGCGGTCCGCGCGGGCAAGAGAGGGAGGAGGAGGAAGAAGAAGAAGACGAGGAGAGGCAGACTACATTGGAAGACATTAATCACCCAATGGCGACTCTCTCGCGAGCGCACATCTCGGACACCCAATACGCGCGCTTATGGATGTCTATCGATGTAGAAATACCACATCCGTATAGCCAACACGCGCGGACAGAGCCACGTGACTCGGGGATACGGTTCGCGCGATCGACTGGATCGACGGTCCAGCATGTGTGCTTGTTTCGCGCGAAGAACAAAGAATCCTTAACCCGGGAATAGTCACCTATGATGTAATTTTTACAGTCTATAGCAGCAAGAAAATGAAGCTCAATGTCTTTATAATAGCAGTTTCCTTTGCTGAATTTGATTATGTAACTTTTTCCCTAAGGTGGAAATATGAAAAGTGAGAAATTTTACTATTGAGATTATGAAAAAATTTTTCACTTGTCATTTCTGCCCTAAGGAACAAGTTACATAATCGATACCCAAGTCAAGAATTTATATCCATTTTTTTATTTCTCCTTACTCTCTTTCTTTCTCTTTTCTTTAGAAAATGTCAAGTCATCTACAAACATAATGACTTTAAGTACTATTAAATTGTAGAACAATTAATAATATGTAATTAATAATAGTGATTTTCAAAACTAATCTACAATGTACTCTTTGCTTCTTGTTTCTTGCTTTTTGTCTCTTTGCGATTATTTTATCGACAATTGTATTTATCGTCATGTGTTTCTTATCTCTTCTGAAGTTCGTCAACTTCTAGATCCAGCGACAGAAAACGAAGAAACAGGATCCGTGGACGTACGTAAGGAAAGCAAGAGGGAACGCTTGCCACTTCTCTTAAATTTTGGCAATGAGAAACAATTAAATTTTGAAAATTTTTATAACAAAAATTATAAAACAATAAAATGAAAATTGACCAATTAGATTAAACACACATACCTAAGTGAAAAATGCCATATTTAGTCAAGGCGAATTAGGTTCTTCAGCCTAATAATATTTCTTAATTCTTTTACCCAATATTTTTTGTGAATTTATACAATTTCTAATTTAAACTAACCGTACGCCGATTATTTGTCAGTTCTGAAACACAGTCCTAAATCATTCGAAACTATTAACTGGAGTAATAATATTACAAATTATGGAGTAATAGTATTACAAATTGACAAGCAATTTAATATTATTGCTGTAAATAAGCATCTTAGCTTTTAATGATTTGATGCTAATAAACACCTTAAAAGCTATAAATAATTTATTGCGAAAAATATTTATTATGGATCCCCAGTCGAGATTTGAACTCGAATCTCCTGAAGATTATAAAATTCATCTTCACGCCAAAGATTTTCAAAGACTAGTTTTAATATAAGTATTTTAATAAGTGTAAAAATAAATTTATGCCCCCTTCCCTAATTGAAGTCCTGAATACGCCCATAAGCATGGGAAACAAAAAAGCAAGAGGAAAAAGAGATAAGAAACAAGAAACAAAGCTCATTGTATAGATTAGCCTGTAATTAGGGTGTCAAAAATACATATAAATCAGATAATCGTTTATACTATAAAAACATAATTAAGTGACAATGTAGAAAGTTAAAGGATCAACGGCGTGGAATTGAATATTTCGATAATACTCGATCGCCGAATTTTCGATGAAGAAAATAAACGGAATCGAAGGGGTTCGAGCTTATCGTGTGATAATTCTCTCCCTTGGCGAGCGGCGGTAACAAGAGGGAGGGTCGCGCGATCACGGTAGCCGAGTCGCGTCCTCTTAAGCCAGGCTTTGGACCGACTCGATTTCGAATCGCGTCAGCGGGGCGTCCGAGTAAGTTGCCCTCGACGAAGCGGGATATTACTAGTAGGCTCATCGATAACATCCAATAATTCTTTCCTTCTCCCTCCATCCTTTCCTTCTTTCCTCTCCCTCGTCTCGCGATAGCAATACGCGGAATGCTGATCCGTTGCACGGAGGACAGGTTGACCCTCTTCCTCCCCTCGACCCCTGCGGATCGAACGGACGTACATCGAATAAGATACCAGGCGACGTTTGCGTCTAGAATCTAGGATAGATTTCCAGGCGCGGATCTTAATCACGATTGCCACTCTTAGACCTGTTCTACTGAAGTTCAACAGTCCTCCTACCGGAAATCGATTGTTGAAAGATAATTATACGTTTGAGTTTAAAGTATTCATAATTGGTTCTTATTTCAAGACCATTTCATAAGTAATATAATCTTAAGATGCTAATACGGCTCTCTAACCGATATTTATAGGCCAGTATTCATAGTCGTTTCTTATTTCAAGACCGTCTTAAGCAATGTGTCTTAAGACGCTAATGTGACTATCTGATTGGTTCGTGACTTCTTAAGACAGTACTTAAGACAGTCTTGAATATAAGACTATGAATACCGGTCATAGTTGTCTCTTACATTCAAGATCGTCTTAAGTACAGTCTTAAGATGTCATGAACCAATCAGAAAGCCATATTAACATCTTAAGACATTACTTAAGACGATCTTAAAATAAAAACTAAGGCCGGTATTCATATCGTTGGTTCTTGTAATTTAAAATATAAGAATCGACTATGAATACAGACCTAAGTCACTTAGTATAAAAGTTTATTAAAAATGCATGCACGAACAGCGATATTATGATAGCGATATTATGGATAACGATTCAATGATTTTCCTTTTTCCGGCGACGATCGATGAACTCACTATCGCAAATAAATATAAGGATCTTCATCGAAGATAAATATAACGGATTTATAGATTATATAGATAGGTTGTGATTTTGTGTGTGTGTGTATTATGCTAAAAGTTCGTAAATTTTATTGATTTGCATTATTATAAAACGTACGATATCAGAAAGTTGTGCCAGATTATTTTTACTTGATAAAATATTGGCGTTATATACAAGGTGTAACTGAAATAACACCCACTAATCATACAGTGCTATTCCTAATAAAAAACTAAATCAAAAAGTCTTTTACCATTTTACAATTTTCGCAATAGTTAACAAGATATTAATTTCTAAATATTGTCGAATAAACGGATAAAATCGATGTATAAGACAATTTTGAATTATTTTTCCGTATTCTTTGTAAAATATTTTGAAGATTTTTCTTAAAGAACTCTTAAAGATATCTTAAAGCTGTCTTATACATCGATCTTAGACATTTTGCTCATTGAGTAACTAAAAAAAATATTGCGAAAATTGTAAAATGGTAGAGTACTGTTCGTCGTTGTTTTTTATTGGGAATAGCACTATATGATTAGTAGATATTATTTCAGTTACACTGTATATTAGTGTGTTTGTCAGCACGAATTAATTCTTATTGCTAAACGCATATTAAAAGTTTGTATTCCTATACAAAGTTTTGCATTAATAATTTGCTTAAATATATCGATAACTATTAAATAAACGTTACTTCACGATTCATCTACTCCAGATTTTAACTTAATTGATTATCGCCAATCGTCACTTTCTTGTAGTATTCTGTGTTATCTCTAAACTAAAGAAAAAAAGTTTATCAAATCAGACCTTACAACCGAAGATAACCACCATGCTGTCACAGATTTCTTTTCAAACCGAAAGAAAATCGAAAAAAGAATATTAAAGTTTGGAGCAACTAGCCAGAGATTTTTTTTTATATGCCGGAAAGCCAGAGATTCGTTCAAACTTCAATGTCGAAGACTCCGACCGAAAACCAAAGAGGTGGCAACCGTGATTCTAATCGAACCACTTGCCGTAAATGCGACTCTCCGGCCGGCGAGAGGCGTCAGAGAGAGATGAGGGTAAACTCGGCATGCAAATATGTTTGCACTTACAAGGCGTAATCGTGTCTGCAGTAGAGTCGCATGCCACGCAGGAAGCACGAGTGCTGATCGTGCAGGGGTCGTGCACAGGCGCAACACTTTAGGCATCTCGAATGCCAGGTACGACCCCCTACGCATAGGACGGTGCGCTCTCGTACGCTCTCCCCACAGCCGCCGCAATCCATTTCCATAGCGTCGTATCCGTTATCGCTACCGCTCTTTTTCGCGACGGCGATGTTGTTGTTACTCGTGTTGTTGTTATTGTTGTTATTGTTGTTGGTCTTCGGGCACAGAACGCCGTCCGCACATTCGGACTCCGTCTCCATTTCAGTCTGCAAGAATGCGGAATATATCGTGTTAACAGATACTCGTATAATAATACTTTGAAGAAATTGTGAGCGCAAAGTTACTTTTTCAATACGGTTTTGCAAAAGTGTTTAAAAATCTAGGGAGATATAGATTTAAAAATAATTTTGTTGAACTATCGAAATAATTATGTAAGACGCTCAAATTGGTTGCTAAAATGTCAAAACTTTTTACAACATTGCATAACTTGTTTGAGTTCCCTATTCTCTCTAAATTCTTTGGAGAATCTCACTTTAAGTGTGACTTAATTTTCAATCTTTAAAAGTGAGATTTTATTCTTTAGAATGACATTCACTCTAAAAGTTTTAGAAAGTACATAATTATTTTGATGGACCATTATAATTACAATTCAATATAATTACTTTTACATCTTATATCTATACTCGCAAATACTTCATAGATCTTGCCCTTTACACTTCCTATAGAATTTTCATTTACGCCTCTGTCACTCTCTTCTTATATTCGACTTATGCTCCAATTTTGATTTTCGTCAAGGCAATTGATATATTAGTACTGACGAATTAATTTTGAAAACTTAATTTGGCGCCCTCTTTAGCGTCCTCCTTGTTAATGCACCCTTGTGTCATGCACAACTTATACACATCCGCTTAGGGCGGGCCTGTTTGCAACACGTTTTCGCATTTTTTATATAATAGTTCCATAATAAATATGTAAATATAACGCTTCATTCTGCGTTTTTTGACTCTATTTGACCATTTATATTTTCTTTTTTTAATTCATTCTTAGAGCTTTTGTTATTTTCTTTTTAATTATTGTTTCAGATCCACCATATCTACTTGAATTTTTAGATACTTCAACAAAATTCTTTACGTGAATATGCGTGTTGCACACATAAAAGAATAAGTTTTCCTAGGTTGTAATTAACGTGATAACGTAGTTTGCGGTTTACCGCATGTAAATCACGAAAGAAGAGAAAGTCGATTCACGAAAGACTTAAAGATGCAAAGCTGATTGCCGAGACAAGCGCCGAATTCCCAGAGAGACATCCGATTTCGGGGCTAGGACTCCAAATCTGCCGATTAATACTCGGCAAAGTGAAATAATGGACGATCCACCGCTTCGGGGGCTATCAGGGTGCACCGAGTGATAAATGATCCCTCGTGCCTCGGGGACGCATAATCGCGTATACGCAAATCCATCGGGATTGCCTGGGCGCGATAGTCTAATTATCCGCGGGTTCATATCGGCGCGAAAGCGAGCGCTAAAACTGGCGCCAGTACCGCCATTTTGTAACTCTTAGGTCCAATTCCACAACTCACAGTTAACTCTTAACCGAGGTTCAAAACTTATTCATTATTTCTTTCCAATTCTCTAGAATTGAAAAGAGATGAGAAACAAGTTGAACCTCGGTTAAGAGTTAACCGTGAGTTGTGAAACTGGGCCTTAATGACAGTTCGGTATCATTATATAACTTATATTATCGTTGCTTTTATACTTTACCTACTTATATGTACACTTGCGCTAGAACTTTCCCTCTCGCTTTCGCCAAATTTCAAATATATATGTATACCTATTTCGCTTTAAATATAAAAAGCATACACTGTATAGTTTGGCTATAAAAAAACAGACCTGTTATCTCACAACCTATTAGAGCTATATGGACGTCGCGATTAATAACGATCGTTAATATCATCCATGTCCGCGATACTTTTTTTTCCGCTATCGATGCGAAGCCGACGGCGACGGTGTTCATTGTACGATACGTCGCCGGAGATAAACGCGGAGATACCGTCTATCAGATCCGCGCATGGATTTCTTTCGCTGTGCCTCGTCACGGCACGCGCGCACGCTGCAGATCGTATGCAGATCGTATGTGATACCCGATAATATTAATTGGCACGCGAGCAACGCACAAGGGTTATTGTTCGCCCCGGGAGGCGTGCGATGAGTTAATTACCCCGAGCGACCGACGCAGAGCGCTTATTCGCGAACTCTCCACTCTCATGCGATTTCTTCGCCGACCGACGCTTTGAGAACGAGTGATTCTTTCGAACTATCGGGGTTGCGTTCCTTTACTCTGAGTAATGCCTGTTTTCATCAATGTAGATTGACTTTAATCTCGATTCAATTTACTCTTTATTTTTTCCTAATTCTGAGAATAAGATATAAAGAATTAATTAAACCGAGTTAAAGTTAATTTACATTAATGGAAATGGACATAAGAGAGTTAACTCACATGTGTGCCAATATTTATAGTCGGTTCTTGTTTTAAGATAATCTCAGTTACTGCCATGCATGCACCTTTTAGTATTCCGTCAAAGATTGAATGGTTTCCAAAAGGTAGAAGAAATAAAGCAAGTATAAATATTCGGCATGCGATAGTTTGTTACTTTCTCTAAAAAAAGAAAGGCCAAAAATGAAAATTCCAGTTCATTACCATTCTCTCATGATGTTATTTAATTGTATACAAATTCTAATTAATTACCATTCGCTCATGTCATTTAATTGTGTGAACCACTAATAAGACCTATAAGATTCTTATTAATGTCATGTTTACACGGAAGACGGTTTTACTGAAGTATCTAAAAATTTAGCTAGATACAAATCTGAAAATAATTTTATTGAACTATAAAAATACTCTAAAAAAATATGAGTGCGGATTTAACATCATGCGGTGTTCATATAATTATGTAGGACGCTGAATAAAACTCTAAATGTTAAAACTCTTTGCAGCAATGCTTATTCATGCCTCAGATTTTTATGTAATTATTTTTATGGTTCAACAAAATTATTTTCAAACCTAGCTAAATTTTTAGATACTTCAGCAAAATCATTTATTCTATGTATATCGTTTCCTTTTAAAAAAGAGAAATAAAATCATCAAAATTCAGATTTCGGAATGATCAATCGGAGGCTTTTTTCTACCTGCTAAAGAGCCAGCGATTCATCCAACAAGTCGGAGTCAGAAACCGGAAAAGTAGCAAGAGTGATGCTAATATAGTTCTGTGATTGCTTTATGAGATCTTGAGACGATTTTGAAATAAGAACCGATTATGAATACCAGCCCACAAGTTAACTCGCTTACTCTAAAAAAATTGTTTATTTGACTTAAATTAATTTTATTATATTTAACTTAAATACATACATTCTCCAACGAAGAAAATAAAGATGGACTAAATAAATATAGTCAAATGAACAATTTTTTTCTCATTGAATCGAATGAGTAAAGTTTTAGAATACAGTCCTGAAGAGTAAAGAGTAGTGACGAATCTCTCTCGAGAACGTCGAGAAAACGCGAAAACCTCACATGTTGTGGCCGTCAAACATCTGCAGGGAAGCTGACGGCGGCCGCCATGGCCAATTTCGAGGATCCTCTTCCGCTTCCCCTGCCCTCGTCCCTGTCGACGTTGGAACTCACGTACCACGCTCAATTCTACGCGGGACCGGTGTAATCATTTCATGTGCACAACCGGACAGCTATTGATTTATGACTCGCCCGAAGGCGAAGCTGAACTTCCCACTTGTGATTTATGCCTCGTGGCTTTTCTCTGTCTTCTCTCGCGTGTGGAAACCACCTTCGCGTATCGCATACCGGCGTGCCGCGTCGCGATACCTCGATTTATTAGTATCGTCGCACCGGACGATGAGTTTTAAGTGTCGTGTAAGAGTCTTCGAAGGGAAGCGCTTCCAGTCGCGGGATGTGACTGAATGGAAAAATCGTCGAAACGAGTTATACGAATAGCGGAAGGCAAAGCGCCCATATGGACGTCTAAACAAACGTCTAACGTTGATCAAGATGGATTTATGCTAATTTCAGTCGTTCGAATTAACTCGTGAATGAGCGTACACAATGTAGAAATTAACGAAAATAAATGGTGACTTAAGATGAGAAAAGGGAATAGCGCATTACATGCAATTTTCCAGGGTGTTGATGAAGGTGCAACGACACGGCGCCACTTGCCATTAAATAAGAATGTCCCCTAAGAATATGCTAGAGATGCTACTTCTCTTGAATAGAACTTAACCATAGAACTTTAGTGTACCTGCTCGAATTTATGACGTTCGACCAGGACCGAACCTCATTCCTGCGTTCAAACAGGTAAATTTACAGCGGTTTGGAATCTAGCCTGCACGGAAAGAATGGCTTTGCTGAAGTGTCTGAAAATAACTTTGTTGAATCATCAAAAGAACTATGTAGAACTATGTATTGATGACAATGCTTAATGCAGGGAATAGAAAGTTACTTTTTAAAAGTAACAAGTTACAGTTACTCGAGTAGAGAAAAAATAACAAGTTACCGTTACTAGTTACAGATTTTTAAAAATAACTCGTTACAGTTACCGTTACTTGAGAAAGTAACTTTTCGTTACTTTTCCGTTTTTCGTTACTTTTGTAAAATCGACAACTACCAATCACAGCAGACGAGTGCCTAAGAGTTTTCTAGTCTCAAGTGCTATGAGTGGCTTGTGTCTAATCGAACTGTGCCCAATCGTATGCAAAGTAATAATAAAAGTAATTGTAAAATTCGTTACCATTACCAAAAAACTGTAACTACGTTATCAAAAATAACTTGTAAATGTAACGTTGTTACAAATAATAACGAGTTACTTCCATTTCCTGCCAAAATGTGTACAATATCATTTGTGAATGTGTACACGAAAATATGTATGTCTCTCGAAATAATTTCAAACTATTTCAATATACAGAGTGTCCCTTAAAAACCGTAATACTTAAGGGTAGATTTCTGAGATCATTTTGAGACGAAAATCCTAAGGTTTGTTTGCGTCGCAAGCTCCAACGTGCTCCTACTATAGCTCCTACTCACTCTATCAATTGGAGTGAATAAGAGCTGTGGTAAGAGCATATGCATTGGAACATGTTGAAGTATGCGACGCGAATAAACCTCTTATTATATATATTTAATTAGCGCATCAAGTTCATGCGTTCAAATGTGTAATCACTGTAATTAGAGTGATACAACGCAAAATGCTCAGTCACACCTAAACACGCGAACTTTAGGCAATATCCCAGACAACAAAAAGTGTCTAAAATCGGGTCATAAAACGTTCTTTTGCGTCTAAAAGACGACTTAAAGACGTCTTATGTCTGCACAATTTCAGACTTTGTGTTGTTTGGGATGATTCGTCAACATTAAATGCTTATAATTCAAAAACTGTTATAGCTTCGACATTTTGGTATTAGAATTTTTGTCTCAAAATAATCTCAGAAATCTACTCTTGATTGTTACGATCTTTACGAAATATCCTGTATACGCTTGACACGGGTGTCGTGACGATCCCTACACTGTAAAAATAAAGATTTGGACATTCTAGCAATCAATTTAAGAATCGTATAATACATTATTATTTTAATGATCCAATAAAATTATTTTCAGATGACAATGACAAAAAGTTTTGACATTCTAGCAATCAATTTAATTATTTTGATGGTGCGATAAATTTATTTACACGTCTGTACCTAGCTAAGCTTTGGATACTTTAGCAACACCCTTCTTTCCACGCAGTTTCTTAAATCATTTGTTTTGCTACTGCGATTCGCAAATAGAACAATAATACTGTTTCCAAAGCAGTGCGAGATTATTTTTATCAATGTAATAAAGTTAAAATAATATACACACGCAATCAAATTTGATGAATCGATTCTGAAATTCGTAATTCATAAATTATCAATGTTCACGAATGCAAATACGTAACTCGCGCCACGTGTGTTTGAATTTTCCCTTTCTCTCCATCCGTTAAAGAAAAGATTAAAACAGCTGTCAAATATTCTCCCACGCGAATCCAACTTGACGAGTTTCTATTTTTGTATCCGTTGCTTGTTTTGGAACGTTTTTTGCAATCAGCGAACGGGCAAGAAAGAATAATAGCCTCATTTTTTATTCGTCAACGAGCCTGAGCGGTGGTTGCTGGATGAACTGACAAAATGAGAAATGTGGAGAAGGCGATGTTGAGCCGAGACTCACACTTCGAGACTGCCGGTCTACCGGATATATCAGTGAGCTACCGGACGTCCTTCCTGTAGTTTCACAATTTTGCATTCAACATTGTAAACTGATACTGTCTAATTAACGAAAGAATAATCCAACACAGAAAGAATGGTTTTACTGAAATATCTAGACACATATTTGAAAGTAATTTTGTTAGACCAACAAAATAATTATATATTAGGACACACACACACACACACACACTTAAACTGATTGCTAGAATGTCAAAACTTTCTAGTGCGGTTATTGTCACGATATTTGTATCAAGCATATTAGTCTGAAATTATTTCGAGAAACATATACACTCACAAATACACATTCAGCACAAGACAGTACAAATATTATGGCACACATGACGGTCAGATCAACTAATATAAATGATACATGATTGATCTATAGAAAATATTTAGAGAGAAAAGAAAAATCTATAGGGGAATATGATACGCTGCAATTTTACTGTCACGGTACATTAATTCAGATAACAACTAAAGCAGCATTGCACATATTCAAGCGTTCTACATAATTATTTTGGCGATCCAATTAAATTATTTTCAAAATTGTATCTAGTTAAATATATTTTCACATACTTCAACAAAACTTTCCTTGAACGAATAAAACAAATTCCTTTTAGGTTCAAATTAATATTGTTTTCATTTAATAATAGCTACGTTCAGCAGAAAAAGCGGCTTTAAACATTTTACGTTAATTGGATTATACTTTTAGACTTACAAAAATAATTCTATTTCAATTTAGATTTGAAAATATTGTCCAATCAGCGCAAAGCACTTATTAAAACTGTTAATTTTTCTATTGAACACAGCTAATGTTTTCTTTTAGGAATCATTTATTTTTCAAGAATCTTGCCGGGAAAGTGACAAGAAATCCGACGCATTTATTCCACACGTGTATAGACTCGCCACTCACACATCAATCTATTCAAAAGTGAAAGAACCTACCTTCATAATTGCGCCGCCGCGATTAATCCAAACGCGATTACGCGCTTCTTCTTTTCTTCATTTCGACTGTCGGAGTGTAATACCTACTCACGTATTACTATCGCGTCTCTTCTCACCCTTTCTTTCGCATATACTATGAAGTCCGCGAACCAAGTTCTCCACCAATCTATCCAAATTTAGGCCGCAATTCGGCTCGCTCGGCCCGATCATCCGTCATCCGTTTACGCAGATGCGAGAATCGCGGGCTTTGGCAAAAGAATCGAACGACACCCTACTCCGATCGGTGCTAAGAGAAGACTGACATACTCGATTCTGCCCCTACTACACCGTTCGATGGGCCGCAGGGATGGGCGATGGAAGTGCAGTGGGGATGATCCAACACTCGCACACTCGCACGTGTGCCCAACACTCGCGTGTCTTGACAGCCGAGCTGTCTGCCATAAGAATGCGTTTCAGATGAAAAATATTGCTAGGATCCATTACGAGCTGTAATCGGAATTCTAGATCGACGTAATTGCAACGAGTGACACCTGGCATGAAAAACAAAAAAAATGGCGTCAAGATGCGAAAGAGAGAGAGAGAGAAAGAGAGAGAGAATGCATTTATTAAGTGACCTCCTAAAGCATTAAATAAAAAAATACATGCGTAAGTAAAGCTTATTCTAATATAAAATTTAAAATAATGTTTGAAGCAAATATAAATGTTATATACGAGTGTATATACCGAGAGAGAAAGAGAGATTATCGGAACTATCGTATACCAGTGCAACAACACGCAACTCGCGTTACATATCGGGCACGAGGGGGATTGCAAGCTTGCGAGACAGATAGGTGGTGATAATAGGTGGCAGAGCACGGAGAGGATCGGGAACTCCAGCTAGGACGTTAGGGTGAACGCTGTTGAATAAGCTCCGCCTACGGTACCCGCCCATGGTTCTCTCGGCGTAGAGCGGGGTAGGGTACATGTTCAGGAGAACGAAACGACGGTGGGGACGCGTATAGGTAGACTGGGTGTACGGGCACGCTCGCACAGCGGTGGTAGACGGTGGGTCGCTTCGCGCGAGCTGGGGTACCTTATTGTCGGCAGCCAAACTGCCGAATGGAATTTCAGCGGTGATTCGCAAACTCCAACCCGAGTCTTGGCGCAAACTTCATTTACGAGTCACAGGGGCACATCCGATATAGCACCGCACTCCGACGTATAATAGAAGTATGCGTGCGCTCCTACGCTCCTGCGCTCTTGCGTTTGCTGAAAGACAATCGTGAAATATTCTTCACGTGTACAACGCTGTTATACAAAGAAAAAGAACGATTTTGCTGAAATATTTATTTATTTAAATGGATGCAGATTTAAAAATAATTTTGTTAGAATCCATCAACCAGCAAAATAATTATGTAGAAAATTCAAGTACGATGAACAATACTGCAACAAATTTTAGCAACTTAAGCATTGTTAGTACTGAAAATCTACAGTTCACGTTGCGTATACTATACATTTTCTGTACTAGCAATGTATATCGAAACATAGCTTACTTAATTAGGTATTTTAATAGACCAAAATTATTTTTAAATCTGTATCTGGCTAAATTTTTAGATACTTCGGTGAAATCGTTCTTTTTTTAGATTATATAAGTACTCTAAAATCTCATTGAGAGAGAAATATTTATGACTAAATTGTATAGTAAAATAATTATTAGGACCTTCATTTTTATAATTATTACTGCTATAATATTAGTAATAATAAATAATTTATAATTCTATGTATCAAATAAAATATAGGATAGTTGACATTGAAATATGAATTATAATCCTTAGCTCTTATTATTTTACTATGTAATTATTAATCACAAATATCAAACATTTTTCTCTCATTGTCAGTGCAAAATTAAATATTTTCATCTTCTCCGCTCATATCGAACGAGACAGAATAGAAGAACGTTTAATATAATTTTATGTTAATCAAGGATACGAAATGGATCCTCTTCTTTCATTCAAATAAATATGAGTTTTCGAGGAAGTTCGAGCACCTGTTTGTATTTTCACCTCGCCGCAGCCCGAATCGTAAATCATCCCCGAATAGACTGGCGGCTTTTATCGCCACTATCCCCCACACTCTCGGTCTGTACCATTTCTATCTCTCTACATGCGTTTAGCGTCACCATGCACACAGACGCAACACAATACATTATACATTTACGATCCAGTTTGGTTTGGCGCGCGTATCCACGTCCACGCCCAAAATGAATATGAATTTCTCGCATTGTGGAAAACTGTCAAATGGGTTTTCGATTCTGTCGCCCGTGTGTTTTATTGCTGGGCGATCGGTGATCCGTGAAATGTCTCGCCAGTTAAACTCGATTTCCTTGGAGAAGATAGATGATCGTTATGCTGTTGAATAAATCGTGTTCCATCGGGGCAATTAATTACATAATTTTACAAAGACGTCATAAAGTACTAAGAATTGCGACCGTTTTCGTAGCATTACAAAATATTGGTTACATAGAAGAAGCAGTTATGTAAAATCCTTTAATATAATTGGTTCTTAGCCTTAATTCCTCACTGGATCTTAGTGTATAAACCAATGGCTGCGTTTAGCAGAAAAAACTGCTAAGCAACTATAAAATACAATGATAAAATTCTTTAATTTAATTGATTGCATGGTCTTGTCCTTAATTTCTCATTGGATTTAAATGTATAAACAAATCATATTAAAGAATTTTACAATAGTTGCAAATTTACTTTTCCTGTTGAACGCAGCCAATCGTATTAAAGAATATTACAACAGTTGTGCGAAGTTGCTTTTTCTGCTGACCCGCAGCCATTCGCAACATTATTCGCAAACATCTGCGTGCTCGATGCACGAAGACGAACGAGCGTGCATTTCCGAGAGTCCGCGCCTTTATTTATTAACTTCGAAGCAAGCGCGTAAAACCGTGTAAATTTACCTATGTGCGCCAAGTTCTCTCGTGTCGCCTCGCGCCGCTTCGAGAACGAGCCATTAGTAACGCTTACCCGGCATAAAGCGAGAAAAATGGCAGTCGAATTATTCCGGTGGCGAAGCCAACTGTGAACAAAGGTCCTTCTTCGCGAGGTGCTTGGAGGATCCTCTCTCGTGGCGCAAACCTGCGGGGTTCCACCCCGTCCCGTCGGTGCCGAACAAATCGAAGGCGACAACGCGACGGTCCCGCATCCACGAGCCGTTCGTATGAGCCCATTAATCGACGCGATCGAGAGCCGAGCCCGTCGACGGTCACCGAAGAACGTACCGAAGCGGCACAGCAGTCATGTACATCCACGAGGAAAAAATTGGATAATTAATAACGTATCCAGTCGCGAGTATCTGAGAGCACCGCCGCTATTATTTTTATATAGTAATCCGTAATAGTAAGTTTCTATGCATTAATGCACAAATATCGCCGTAAAATCGGATTATACCTTCACCCAAATGTTGACAATGGCTATACAACACGTTTGTTAAAATTGAAGTAACTTTAATCCAAATTTTTATTATTTCTATACGGCAAAAAATATAGTCAGTTTTACACTGAACCAAAACTGTACATAAATACAATAAAATGTTCATTGAATTAACGAAAATTGGTCAAATGAATTCTCATAATGATTTAAGTTAGAAAACTATTATTAGAATTCATTGTAAGAATGAATATGTAGTTATATAAATGAATCCAGTTATTGTATCAATGAATTAACTACATTAGGTCGGACATTAAGTCGGATATTGATTAACGATCATTCGTTGGATCAAAAATGATCAAAAATTTTTTCGGTGTAATATTTAATAAATATTTATTTGAATACTGCCAACTAAATATTTATTAAATATAAAGATATATTTATTTGGTACAAGAACCATTAATTTAATTTAATTGTCATCCTTTTATTAAACAAATATTTATTTACTAAACATAAGTAAACGTTTAGTTGGCAGTATTGTGTTGAACTAAATAATTATTAAAATTGATATATTTTTTCCTAAGTATAAACAATATGTATATGAAAAGTCTTTAAAGTTTTAAGACGATTTCTTTATTTCTTATGTCTTATTTCTTATCCTCATTTTGAACATGTGTGCTATCTAGCATTTTTTAAAATTTGGATCAAAGTTATCCCGACTGGATCAAAGTTACCCTATTTTACGATACTCAAATAAATACTACCCAATGGATTGTAATATTGAATGACGTGATTATATATTAGTTACGATGTACGCACAATATTTAGAGCCTATGCAATAGCTACACCCTCGCCTTTTTTATCTCTGTTGACTGTCCCTCGACCGCTCTCCATTTCACGCTGAGTTAGAAGAGTCCGCCCTCGCGATGTTTCCTAAAATGTCTGGAGAGGAGTCTTCGGTCACCGGGGTGTAGGAACACTTTATTATTGTCATTAAAATGATCGCTTATCGGATCTGTTAGCGTTCGAACGTTGGGCCGGGATGTGCCACGAGACTTCGAGCCACGGAACCTGTGACTCTATTGTCACCCAGATCCCCGGAGTTCTCGTAAAAGAATACAAATTCGAGAAAGCGGGATAGCGAGTCGAGGTCGCACCACTAACCACCTGCTGTGCAAACAGCAGGAACGTTATAAAAATCCGGTTCGCTGCCTCTCAACCGAAGAAGCGAGTGTTTAACATCGTACTATCTACCTCGCCTCCACGTTTACGTGGACCACATGAAACAGTTATACAATCGATAAGGACAAACAAATTGTAACAGAAGGACAAACTGTAACAGAAGCCTTGGCGCCATGAAACGTCACAATGTGTTTCGATCTTTAACTCTGAACATTTGAATCTTATCATTAAGAAATAAAATGATTATAATTACCTTAATTTATTCTATAATTTATAATCATTTCTGTACCAATATATATATATATTTTGTAGAACTGTAAATTTATTATATTTTTATTAACATTAACATTATATTATTTTATTATTGTATTATTATATTATTAAAATTATATTATTATTAATATTATAGCAGTAATAATTATAAAAATGAAGCTCCTAACTATAATTATTTTACCATGCAATTATAGTCACAAATACCAAACATTTTTGTCTCAATGTTTATGCAAAAAAGCTTCAGAATATCTCCGAAAATTAAACTGCTTGATTCATTGTGCTTTTTTATCTACGAATCTTTGGATTTATTGACTTTCATTGTCAGACTGTGG